TCCTTCCTTCCTTCCTTCCTTCCTTCCTTCCTTCCTTCCTTCCTTCCTTCCTTCCTTCCTTCCTTCTTTTGGTTAACACAAGTTGGCCCTTAACTAATACAGACTACTCCAGCATTGCTTATTCTAACTCACTGACAGAAATGTCCCAACCCACATGGTTGGAAGTTTTGACTAGGGACCTTAATAGGTGTGAAGCAGAAAAACAAAAGACTTTCACCTAGTAAACTCATTGGTGCCAATAAGCGAATTAAGTTGTTAATGCTTATAATGAAATATGGCTCTGACAGAGAATCTGAAAAATTCATAAAATAATTTTCCTAATTAAAAAAAATTAAAATTATGACTTTGAAAATTGAAATAACATGTTAAGATACGTGCACATATTTTCTATCTAAACTATAACCTAAAAGTGATTTATTTTTTAATTCAATAGGAAGATTTTTATTGAAGCTATTTATAATACAATCAGGAATTGCTGCATAACAACATACAGTCCTGCTTCTAGTGGCACTTACATTGCAATCTCATTGAGTGAACGGGATCTAAGGATACAAGTCTTCCTTCATCTCGCATAACATCTAATGCAGTGCTTTGCACTCAGTTGGTACTCATAAATATGTGCTCAGTATATGAAAGGAAGACAATTTTCACAAGGTAAATGACTTTTAAAGTAGACTGCTTTCTGTAGGGTTTTTTAAATCTAGAGTTTAGTTGAGATATTCTTATTTCTCCAGCTAGTTTTTATAGAAATATGAGTGAAATAAATAATGCCATTAATATCTTTTTTCTTACCACTAAAATGATTTAGGTTAAAAAAAAGTGAAAGATTTTGAAAATAGAAAAAAATTGAAATGTGTATTTTCTTGACTGTAGGAGCTGGAGATCCACAGTATTGAAGGAGAACACTTCACTTTTTTGTCCAAAATATGTAATCATTAAATGTATAATGATTTAGAATAATATAGTATACAAACTATTTTATCTATATGGGCATATTTTCCTAGTTATGTAAACTACGAGAGTTGACACGGCTCTGTAACTAGGTAGGTTTCCTCATCTGTAAAATGGGAGTACCTCTAGGGTCTCATTCAGCTGTAATTAAAACCATTGTAAAGTTTTATGGCAAAATTGAATATCAAATCTTGACAAAGAAGATGAGGTCTCCAAAGTTGAAAAAGTTGTTTATAATTTACATATCAGTAAACACGCGCTTGCTATAACTTCGTATTCAAATGGAAGCTAGTCACCAAAGTAATTTCGTAAGCATAATAGTGAGATTTGGGCCTGAGAGCCAGTCTTCCTTCCATTTCTTCATATTTTTCTATCAATGTAATATATGCAAATAATTTAAATTGTCAACTAGTTCTATTAAGTTCTGTTATGAAAAACCACTTTTACCTTTTACATAGTTATTTTGATTCTTTTACCTCCCTGTCTTTAGATCAGTGCCATACAATAGAAAAATATAAGGCAAGCCACATACATACTTTAAATTTTTCTGATAGCCACATTAAAAAAGTAAAAGGAACACAAAAATAATTTTAGTAATATATTTTATGTAACTCAATATATCCAAAACATTATCATCTTTTAGCATGTAATCAATGTAAAAGATCATTAAGAGATATCTCACATTTACTAAGTCTTTGAAATCTGGTGTGTTTTTTACACTTACAGCATATTTCAAGTAACATGTTAAATTTTCATTGGAAATGCTTGATCTGTATTCAGACTTCATAAAACTTACAATTGAAAAAGTAGATTTACCTATCCAAGTTTTTCCAAACATTCTTAAAATTTTTCAATAACTGGACTGATATTAATGTTTAAATTTAAATTAGGCAGTTAAGGGTGGGTGAGAAGTTTTCCAAGTGGATGGGCAATTGCTTCCTCCCCAGGCAAAAGCTGCTTGGATAGTAAATGTCTGCCTGAGAAAGATGTCCTCTGCCATATGTGGTAATGACTCAGCACAGGAATTCAGATGGCTGCTTTCCAAGCCAGCATCCCTGGATTCTCCTCACACAGCTCTAGACCACTCTGCCCTCTGGAGCCCAAGGCCTCAGTTGTATTTCAGCTCCAGACCCAGAAAAGCAACAAAACCAGACAAGCAATACCAAGGCTGACCTCAGGACCAGCTGCATTGGCTAATGACCCCCTGCCCTGTGGCTCACCAATCAATCAGTGGCGACCTAGACCCTGAAAAGACACACCTGGAACACTGCTGAATATTATAATGAGAAATTCCCCTGGGACACAAGAAAGAAAAAAATTAATAAATTAGGCAGTTAAATTAAATTAAAAATTCAGTTTCTTATTCTTATATTTCAAGTGCTTAATAGCTATAGGCAGACTTCAGGTCAAGGTGGTGGCGTAGGTAAATGTGGTACAGTACTTGCATCCTCTCCCGCAACCACATAAAAATTACAACTAAACTACAGAACAACCATCATTCAGAACCACGTGAAATCTAGCTAAATAGAAGTCCTACAACTAGGAATTTAAAGAAGCCAAATTGAGACTGGTAGTGAAGCAGGACAAAGAAAATGTTCCCCAAAACTGCCCCATCAAGTTAATCCCTGCCAGAACTAAGGCAGTTATCAATAAGTTGTTATAAAACAATGGTCCAGGAACCACCCTGACTTCTTTGAAGTTTGTTTTTCAGATCTAAAGCCAAGCCATCAACCATAGGGACCAACTCAATACCTGGTTGGGAAAGTCTCTTCCTGCATCCCATAATAAGTGCTGCACAATCACAGAATGCTTCACTTTGCTAACATATACCTAGATATCAGTGTTTGTATACCCAAACATCAATGTTGCAAAAAAGGAAAAGCCTGCTAACCTACCCTCTGTTTGGTTACCCCAGCAACTTCCGTGTTCCCAAGCCATAAAAACCCTCAAGCCCCACATTTGGGGCTCTGAACCTAAGGCCCTATCTTAGGGTCCTTGACCTCTGCAGAGCCTCAATAAGTCTGCCTTTGCTTTTATCTGTATCCTTGGTCTAAATTCTTTTATATCAGGAGATAAGAACCCAAAGTCATTGGTAACAGTAGGAGGGGTGGAGACACAGAGCGGGCTGGTCCCACACCCACATGTTGCGGATAAAAATCGGGAGGCTATCTTGGCTGCAGAGGTCCCCACCGAGGAGTGAAGGGTCCCAGCCCCACACTAGGCATTCCAGCCCAGGGTTCCAATGCCAGGAAGAGAAATCCCCATAATTTCTGGCTGTAAAAACAGGGGGCATTGAGGCTGAGGTGGATGGCTACTGGTGTCCCAGGCAGTTCCTTTTATTTATTTTTTTTAATATGTTTTTATTGATTTCAGAGAGAAGAAGGGAGAGGGAGAGAGAGAGAAACATCAATGATGATCCCGGCTGGGTGTGGCTTAGTTGTTGAGCATCAACCTAGGATCCAGGAGATCACGTTTCTATTCCCGGTCAGGGCACATGCCCGGGTTGCAGGCTCGATCCCCAGTCGGGGGTGTGCAAGAGGCAGCCGATCAATGACTCTCTCTCATCATTGATGTTTCTCTCTCTCTCCCTCCCTCTCCCTTCCTCTCTCTAAAATCAATAAAGATATATATATATTTTAAAAGAAACATCAGTGATGAGAGTCATTGATCATGCCCCCTACCGGTGATCAAGCCCACAACCCAGTCATGTGCCCTGACCAAGAATCAAACCGTGACTCTTGGTTCATAGGTTGACGCTCAACCACCGAGCCATGCTGGCCAGGCCAGGCAGTTCCTTTTAAAGGGCCCACACACAGACTTACTCTGACTCAGTCTGTCTGAGTTCCATTGCTGGGGCAGTAGCTTGAAAGGCACCAGGGACATAAGGTAAGGGGTTGAACTGTCTGCCATCAGGGTGAGAGCTGAAGGGGCAGCTTTCACCCAGACAGAAATACTGGCATGTATGTTGATTAGAGATATTGGCTTATAATATTCTTTTCTTTTCTTTTTATTCTGTGAAGCTTTGTTTCTTCTTTTGACTCACAGTTATTGAGTATCAATTGTATATTAGGAACTATGCTAGAAACTAGTAACACAGACTTAACACTGTTCAAGTTGTTTGCAATCCAAATCCTTTCCTCTTACCAACCCCTGAAATGTGACTGCAAGCAAGAATATTTTTACAAAGACAAAACTCTTCCATACTGATCTATGACCATTGTCAGCCTATATAATAATAGGAAGTCCCAGGAAGGAAATGCCGGAAAGCTACAAAGACAAATCAGACACATAAGAAAGAGTGAAATGGTTGGTCAATGCGGTACACATTTTAACCTTAATCCCAGTATCTTCAATGATTCTTTTAATCATTTCTAGGCAGCATCTGAAAAAATATGCTTTTAGTCTTTTCATTTATCATAATTAAATCAGAGTGTCATTTACTTCAGTCTTCCTCTTGGCACCTGATAAGAACTCGTGTTGCTTGGTGGCCTATAATATTCTTGCTTTGTAGTGGCTTTATCTGGTTTTGGAATTAGGATAATGCTGGCCTCATAAAATGAGCTTGGGAGTATTCCCTCTTGAATTTTTTGGAATTGTTTGAGAAGGATAGGTGATAGTTCTTTGAATGTTTGGCCAAATTCACCTGTGAAGCCATCTAGTCCAGAACTTTTGTTCGTTGGGAGGTGTTTTTTTAAATTTTTAAAATTTCTTCTTCAATTTCATTAGTTGTAATCTGTTTATTTAGATTTTCTGACATTTCATGATTCAGTTTTGGAAGATTGTATGTTTCTAAGAATTTATCCATTTCATTTAGATTGTCCGATTTGTTGGCATATAGTTGTTCGTAATATTTTCTTACAATTCTTTGTATTTCTTTAGTGTCAGTTGTTATTTCTCCCCTTTCATTTCTGATTTTATTTATTTGGGTCCTCTCTCTTTTTTCCTTGATGAGCCTTGATGAAGGTTTGTCAATCTTCTTTATCTTTTCAAAGAACCATTGTTGCTTTCATCAATCTTTTGTATTGTTATTTTAGACTCTTTCATTTATTTCTTCTCTGATCTTTATTATTTCCTTTCTTCTACTCACTTTGGGCTTTGTTTGTTGTTCTTTTTCTAGTTCCTTTAAGTGTAAATTTAGATTGTTTATTTGAGATTTTTCTTTTTTCTTCAGGTAGACCTATAGTGCTATGACTTTCCCTTAGGACTGCTTTCACTTTTGTATTGTTCTCATTTTCATTTGTTTCAAGGCATCTTTTGATTTCTTCCTTGCTCTCATTGTTAACCCATTCATTGTTTAGTAACATGTTATTTAGCTTTCATGTTTTTGTGTGCTTTTTAGTTTTTTTCTTGTGATTGATTTCTCGTTTCATATTATTATGGTGAGAGAAGAGGCTTGATATGATTTTAATCTTTTTAAATTTAATGAGACTTATTTTGTATCCTAACATGTGGTCTATCATAGAAAATGTTCCATGTATACTTGAAAAGAATGTATATTCTGCTGCTTTGGGGTGAAATGTTCTGAAGATATCAATTAAATTCATCTGGTCTAGTGTGTTATTTAAGGTCCCTGTGTCCTTGTTGATTTTCTGTCTGGAGACTCAATCCATTGATGTCAATGGGGTGTTAAAATCCCCTACTATGACTGTATTACTGTCAACCTCTCTCTTTATGTACTTCAAAATTTGCTTTATATATTTAGGTGCTCATATGCTGGGTGCATAAATATTTATAAGGGTTATATCCTCTTGTAGGGTTATTCCCTTTATCATTATGTGGTGTTCTTCTTTGTATCTTACTATAGTTTTTGTTTTAAAGTCTATTTTGTCAGATATAAGTATTGTTATACTTTTTTTCATTACCATTTGCATGAAATATCTTTTTCCATCCTTTTACTTTTAGTCTGTGTGTATCTTTCGTTCTGAGGTAGGTCTCTTGTAGACAGCATATATATGGGTCTTGATTTCTTATTCAACTACCCGTGTCTTTTGATTGGAACATGTAAAGTGATTTTTTTTTAACATAAATTATTGTCATTATTTAAATGGCATTCATTAAATAGTCAAGCTTTGGGCAGTAACTGGATCTCCTTCTGTTTGGCACCAAGGTCTTGAGCCCTGCTACACACAGGGACACTGAAATACAGTCCACTTTCTTACACGCTAACCCTCTGTTCAAAATCCTGCAGCATTTTACGTTGTTTGCTATCAGAAGGATGCTTTTCCTGTACAGTTTTTTTTCTTTTCTCACTGGAAAATTTCTGATTGTCATTGTTTTCTCTTGTGGGATGGAGAAATACACGCCTTTCACATCATATCCTTAAGATCTTCAGCTTCTTACTCATTCAATATGTTGCTTACGATTCAGTCCAATATTCCCGAAATTTATGATTTCATATTTTAATCTGAACCATGAACTTGTATTTTGCATTTTTTTCCTGAAAAACTTAGTAGCCTTCACATTTTTTTATAATGCACCCTTCTTCGCTCTTCGCTCTAATTTTAAGGACGCAGAGCCCCTTAAACACTGTGCGTCTGAATTAAATTCTTTACTGTTGCCGCAAAACCCCGACCGATCTCTCTCCATTCCCAGCTTGCTGGGGCAGGGAGGGCAGCCGCGGAGGGCGCCCAGGGATTCTCGCGAGACTGAGGAGGCCTCTGCGGCAGCTCTGCTTGGCTCTGCCGCTGGGCCTCCTGGGAGTCCGCCATTGTGCTGGCCCGGGGACCGTTAGCATAATCATGTCTTTAAAAATGTACCTGCAAGCGGATGTTGAGGATCACGGAGCCCGCGACGCAGAAGTATGGTAAATTCGTGCGCAGCTGCCAGGCCAGCTTGAAGAAGGCGAGCAGGGTGCGGTAGAGCCCTTTGCAGAATACCCCGCAGGAGCTGGGCCCGCTGGGCTCGAGACCCCAAGGGCCAAAGAAGACGCAACCGCCACAATGGCCATGGTCATGGCCTTGGTGTTGCCCGCTGACCCAATGCTTGGTGCCCAGGGTCACCCCTAGCCCTGCAGACCCCGACGGGTGGCCCCCACAGCGAGGGGCGGGGGCACTTGTAAAGTGATTATTGATAGGTACATATTTATTGCCGTTTTATTCTTTTTTGTTGCTGTTGTTAATTCTCACCCAAGGATATTTTTTCCATTGATTTTCAGAGAGAGTGAAAGGGAGAAGGAAGGTGGGGTGAGAGAGAGAGAAACATCCATGTACATCAATTGGTTGCCTCCTGCATGTGACCAATGGGGATCGAACCTGCAACCCTTCGGTGCTCAGGCTGATGCTCTAGCCACTGAACACCACCAACCAGGGCAGCCATTTTATTATTTTAACTGTGTTCCTTTGTTTTTCTTTTCTTTTCTTCTTCTCCTCCTCCTCCTCCTTAAAGAAGACTCTTTAACATTTCTTGTAATACTGGTTTGGTGGTAATTCCCTCTTTTAGCCTTTTCTTGTCTGGGAAGCTTTTTATTTCTCCAATTTTAAATGATAGCCTTGTTTAGTAAAGTAGTCTTGGTTATAGGTCCTTGCTATTCACCACTTTGAGTATTTCATGCCAATTGCTCCTGGCCTTAAATGTTTCTTTGAGAAATTAGCTGACAATCTTATGGGAGCTCCCTTGCAGGTAACTAACTGTCTTTCTCTTGCTGCTTTTAAGATTCTCTCTTTGTCTTTAACCTTTTGCATTTCGATTATGGTGTGTTTTGTTTGGTGTGGGCCTCTGGGTTCATCTTGTTTGGATTTGTGTGTCTTTTTCCTTCACCAGGTTAAGGAAGTTTTCAGCCATTATTGCTTCCAATAGGTTCTCAATCCTTTGCTCTTTATCTTCTCTTTCTGGTTCTCTGTATGATGCAGATGTTGCTATGCTTCATATTGTCCCAAATATCTCTTTAACTATCCTCATTTTTTAAAACACTTTTTGCTGCTCTGATTTGGGTGTTTTTTGATACCTTGTTTTCCAATTCAGTGATTTGATCCTCTTCTTCATCCAATCTACTGTTTCTTCCAGTGTATTCTTATTTTGAGATACTGTATTCTTCATTTCTGACTTGCTCTTTTTTATGGTTTCTATGTCCTTTTTCATGATGTTTTACTTCTCACTAAGTTCCTTTAACATCATTATAACCATTTTTTGTTGAACTATATATCTGATTAATTGCTTGCTTCTGTTTCACTTAGCTCTTTTTCTTGATGTTTTTTCTGTTTTTCTGTTCTTTTATTTGGAGCATGTTTCTTTGTCTCCTTATTTTGGCTGCCTCTTTGTGTTTGTTTCTGAGTATTAGGTAGATCTGCTATAATTCCCAGTTTTGGTATGGTGGCCTTATGTAGTATGTATTCTGTAGGACTCAGTGGTGCACTCTCCTTGATCACCTGAGCTGGCTGCTCCAGCAGTGTTCCTTGTGTGGGTTATGTGGGCCCTCCTCTTGTAATTGAGTTTTGATTGCTATTGGCCTATTTGTGTGTTGGGTTGACCCTCAGGCTGGGTGACTGTGAAGATCAACCCTCACCACAGTGTACAAGCTGCTGTGTAGGTGCTAAGCCCATCAAGTAGAATTTGCCTCAGCAAGGTCTGGCACCTGCTGATATATCCCTCTGCATATGCTGCTTGTGAAGCTAATTGGATTCTGCTCTAATGTTTTCTGAAACTGGCCACTGAGTGTGTTGGTTCTGGGGCCCCTGAACCAACTGTGTTGGTCCTTCTGTGTTGGGAGGGACTCTGGTGCAGGTCAATATCAGACCTTGCCTGTGACTGGCCCTGGGCAACCTGTTTGGAGCCTCAAAGTGATCCACAGTTTGTGGCTGCCTCTGTTGGTCCTGGGTGTGTATGAGAAGGACCAAGCTGTGCACCAAGGCTGGCTTTTACCAGCACTGGGCCCGGGGGCAAGTCAGCAAAAGTTCCAAGGCGCCCTAAGATCTGCATCTGCCTGCCTTTGTCTGCCGGCTGCCTGTTAAGCTCAGTCACTGAAAGAACCTCTGGCGGTACTTGAGTTGCATGAAGTCAGTTCTCAGTGAGTCACTAGGTAAGGGTGGATGGTATTGACCAGATTGATATAGGTTCAGTCTTGGTGCCAGTGCTGGGTCTGTGGCTACCCAGCAAAATCCCAGGGTATACCAAGTCTAGCTGCCACCCACAGGTGCTCACGCACCTTTTTTGTGGGGCAGAGTCTCAGGAAATCACCTGGGTGAGGCCAGCAGAGTTTAACAGGCCCAAATACACTAAGATTTGGCTGTACGAAGGGAGGGCTCTGCACCAGTCTGGTGTGCAAGAGAAAAGTGCTTCCCATCCTAGAGCCACACAACTAGTCTGTCCCAGATTATGCCAGGAGTCAATCTCAGCAGGGTAGGGCTGCCTGGAGTTGAGAGGATGGTGCTAGTAGATCTCCAGTGAAAGGAAGGTGTGGTTCAGGCTTGGGAGAAAGTGTGGGAAGTGGCTCTTACCCCAGAGCCACACAACTCAGTCTTTCCCAGAGTCTGCCCAATCCTCAGTAGTGTGGAGCCACAAGGGGTTGGGAGGGTGGGGCTGCTGGGAGCCT